GACGGTGACGGATGTTTCTGGCATCCAAACGAAATACTATACCGATGGACTGGAGCGAATCGTTCGATCCGAGAAACAAGAATCTTTGAATTCTGAGACTTTCCGAGTTGTTCAGGAACGGAAATACGATGAGTGTGGCCTCTGTGTCGAGGCTGTGGAATTGGACTGGTTTTATGGAGATGACAATAAACCACCTACAGAGCAAAGATCTGTTATGCAGTTGGGCTATGATGATTGGGGCCAGGTGTGTCTTCGGAGCACAAGCGATGGCAAGGGTCGCAAAGGCAAGGCCATTACAACTTCCATGGACCCGATCAGCTTGATCAAGATGGAAGGTGACGTGGGCGAGGGCCAGACAAAGACCTTGCTCAATGATGCGGGCTTGGTTGCTCAAAAGACGTTGCTCACGAAAGAGGAGAAGGTGGAGAGCTCAATCAGCTATGATTACGACGGATTCGCCCGCCAGGTATCGGAAACCGACCACCTTGGACGAGAAACGAAGTACGAAATGGATTCATTCGACAGGGTCACCAAAACCACTTGGCCTGGCAATCGTGTCGTCCACACAGAATTCTCTAGTCAGAGTGCTTCGATCCTTCCCACGTCGATCAAGCTAGGGAAGCATGAACTTGGCAAACAGGATTACGATGGCCTGGATCGGGTTAAGACGACAACTGTGGGCTCTCGCACTCTCACCAACACCTTCCAGAACGACCAAAACATCGAGCCAAATAAGCTCACTTTGCCCAGTGGAAAGCAGTCCACCTTGGAATACGTGCCAGAACTGAATTATGCAGTCAAGAAGATTAATGAGTCCGACACGATTGATTTCGACCCCAAAACAGGCACACCTGTGCTTCTGGTGAATGGCCACCTCAAGCAGGTCGTAAAGTACTACGACACAGGCCTAGTCTCTCGTGAGGAATGGGAACTTCAAGATGGCGGCACTTCCTGGTTCGCCGAATATAACTACTCACTCGGAGGGAAGCTTCAATCATACACAGATGTTCATGGACAGAAGCAAGTTATCGGCTACGACACTCTCAGCCAGCCAGAGAAGCTCACTCAAGGCCCGATGCAGGTGGAGTATGTTTACTCCGAAGCCCAGCGATTGTCAAGGATAGACACCACAAGTACCTCGGGCAATTCCAAGATAGCCACTGAATTGGCCTATGACGACTTTGGGCGGGTGGACGAACGAAAGGTGTCGAAGGGGAGCTCAGTCTTGCGAAAGATGAAACAAATTTACAATTCCAGGGGGCTCGTGTCACAGCGTTCCCTACAAACAGAATCAGGCGTTTCTTTGCGGGAAGAAACCTTTGAATACGATGTGCACAATCGCTTGGAGGATTACACCTGTGTTGGCATTGAGGCTCCCGTGGATGAGTACGGCAACAACATCAAATCGCAAAATTTCGAATTTGACGACTTCGACAATCTGAAGACGGTCACTACCCTCTTTGAGGATGGCACAGAAAATATTGCAACTTACTGTTTTGCTGATCATGATCCCACCCAACTGACCGATGTCAAAAATACACATTCTGGCTACCCCCCTCGGGTCGAGCTAAAATACAACGAGAATGGGTCACTGACGCGGGACGAGAAGGGACAGAGTCTTTCATACGACGAGCTGAACAGACTAAGCGCCGTCCGAGATTCAGACGATGAACCTCTTTGCGAGTACCGATACGATGCCCTCGGGCGACTAGTGTGCCAAAAAGTACCAAATCAACCAGATACCCACTTCTTTTACCGCGGCACCTCACTCGTGGCCGTTGAAAAGGGCGAGCGCAAAACAAGTCTCGTCGTGAGTGACCCATACTCATACTGGGGTCAAATCGTGAAAGAGGGCAATACCAGCACCACACAACACTGGTTGTCGGATGGCAATGGCTCTGTCCTTGGCTGGATCGAAGCAGGGGAGGTCCATTACACTCACTACACCCCATATGGTTTCAGTCCTCGCGACTCCTCTTCTTCTATCGGATTCAATGGACAATGGCGGGACCCGATCACTGGCTGGTATCACCTCGGTAACGGATACCGCGTATACAATCCCATCCTGATGCGCTTCCACACCCCTGACCCTTCGAGTCCCTTTACGTCAGGAGAGATCAACCCGTATGCCTACTGCCTGGGTGATCCCATCAACCGTATTGATCCTAGTGGCCATTTCAGCCTCTTTGGCTTGGAGCTTAGCTGGAAGGACATCTTGATGACCGTCGCCTCGATCGCGGTTGGAGCAGTGGCAGCCGCCTTGACGGGTGGAGCTAGCATCGCGATTCAGATAGGTGTCTCTGTCGCCGTTAGTGTCACGACTGATTTCGCAACCTCGGTATCATACGATCTGGCCGCCGGAAATGCCATCGACTGGGGTGATTTGGGCGTTGACCTCGTGCTGTCCGCCATCACCGGTGCGGTTCCGGGACTAGGTGACGCGGCCAAGGCCGCCGTCCGCGGTCCCACGAAGGCGGTCGCCAAAGCGTCGGTCAAAGGTGCCGTCAAGAAATCGATTGGTCAAAAGGTTAAGGGCGCAGTGAAGAACAAAGTCAAAGAGTTGCCCAAAAAAGCCTTTGACTCCGCCGTTTCCTGGGGCATAGAAACCACTTTGGAGACACCCCTGAAGGACTTGGTTGGGGTTGGTGGTGATACCGGACCTAGCCAGTCATTGGATCAAGAGTCCAAAGAGGCTGATGACTCCACATTGGCCAGGTCATCCGGATTCGCTGCGCGGGACAGTATTCGACCTGTTCTCAAGGAGACTCAATCCAGCTTGGGAGCTTACGGGGTGCACCCAAGCTCCGGGGCGTCTTTCAGCGGTCAGTCGCTAGCTCACCTGCTCAATCGTGAGCTGCGAACATTGTATGGACAGCAGGATGGCGGCCCAACTCACGGTCTAGGCGCTCAACACAGTATTCGTGGTCTTCAAGATGCGATCCGAGCAACGGTGCGTCGGCCCCACGATGTGGCCGACTGGATTTCGGTGTCTGGAATCGGAGGTTCCTGATTCAGCGGAATAAATAGTGCTTTTAATGGAATCAATTATCAACACCAATATCTGCTCCTCGATTTGAAATGTTGTCACGCTGTGGACACTGGGTGAGTCTCTCGTGAAATGGTTCTGCAAAGAATCCGAAATCAATGACTGATTAAATCCCTTTTTCTTCCCTTTACGACAAGTATTAGACTTTTTGTGTCTACTCATGGCGCTTGTCCCATTCCCTTTATACTGTGGATGATCAAGCACAGTGAGACAAGCCTGGCAGATGACTCGAGGACGCCCAGAATCAATATCAGCTACCTGGTCAAAGTGTTTCCACACATCAGTGTGACGCGATCCGGTGGACCATTTGATCTGGGATTGGCCTTCTCCGTCCACCTGGCAGCTTTTGGTCGTACTCTGTTTCCTTCCACCATTCAAGAAACTCTGTCTCTAGACGCGACTCGTACGCAATCCATTTCTTTCTATGCTGAGGCCCCACACGTCGGAGTGTCGCTGGAGGTCTTCGAGTAGTTATGTCGTAGGTTTTGCGGGGTCCTGTCAAAGGCTGCGGTCCATCTTAGTATACATGTAGGTAGCGCCGCAACACTCAGAGGCTAGTGGAAGGGACCATTTTCTTACGGAGATGAATACGACTTTGGGAGGACACTGAGAAGGTGCAAATCACTGATTTCCAATGATCGAACTAAAGATAATATTTTTGAGCTCACTCAAGTAATTCTCAATTGATGAATTTACATCAAATCATCAATGTGGCCTATAATCCCTTCAGATGTGTAAAGCAGGGCGATGGGGGCAGTGATCCAAGTAGAGAATATATATTCCCAGGTCGATGGCGTGCATTGTTTCAGTGCAACATCCACTCATAAGCGTGACAGAAATAAATTACCAGAATTACATCAGGTGACTAATCATGTTTCTCCACGATTTATGCATGTTTTTGGGTATTTTGGGCAACCCGCGGGTACCCGCCAAGAACCCATGGGTGGGTTCATCAAGGCCAAAACCCGCGGTGGGTTGCCCATGGAGGGTAAGGAAATTGAAGACCCAACCCAAACTCGCGTTTGGCGAGGTCTAAGCCTGGATATTCGGTGTTGCACGTGATCTGGATGACAGGTAGATTGGTTGGCTCTCGGTGGCCCATCGTGGCCCATCATGTACTGTGGCTAGCTGAATGATCGACAGTTCATCCAGGCACCGGGCTTCGCACTCGCGTCGTGGTAGCATAACCAATCATCACTATGCGAAAACTCGAATTTCTTGTGGCGATATAGCGATCGAAGCTGTTCAGTCAGATATAGTGATACAAAAGTATACGTCAGCCAGCTCTCCTCAAAGTTTTGGCGGCGCGGAAGTTGGAAGCTTCGGTTATGTAGATACCCTATACCCTATCGCTGTATGAGTCCGCTATAGACCCCCCGCAGCTCAGCGGAGCCCACCACTCGTCTGGGTGAACACGGTGATGAGCAGTTTCATGAGTATTCCTTCAAGTAAGCAGGAAATCGCAGGTCACTATCCATGTATCTGATATAGAGTAAGGGGTTTACAGTGGCAGGCACCAGATCAGCACACCGCTAACTCGGTCTCCATCGAGTGGCAACTATCACCGGTGAACCTGGGGTGCTACATAAGTGTGGTCACCGATCCCGATCCGGTCAGATCATCCAGTATCATTGAAGCTACTGCGATCTCTACGTAGTCTAGGTAGGTGTAGCCCCGATCTACCAATCAAATGCATCAAATACGTATGCCACCATGTACATATGACTAAATAGTCCAGGGCTCACTAAAACTCGCTTAAGCATTGCGAGCTTCAAGGGACTTAAAAGGTTGACAGCTACGCAGATAATACGACGCACACGCTCATAGCTCATTGATCCTCATTCAAACCCAAACAAATCATCTCTTTCAAGCGTCGCAGTGTTGGCTAATTGCTGCCGAAGCAAATCAATCACACCTCACAACCTACAAATATTGAATATTCTCCTCCACCAACATGGGTTATCACGATGAAAAGACAGAAGACACAGATAGTCCCTTTAAATCCACTGAAAAACTTTGTTCCTCAATTCGTCTCGGCGATTTCCTTCTTCTACAGGGCCGGCCCTGTCAAGTTATCAAGATAAGCCGTCCTTCTGGAACTGGTCAGTACAGATACCTCGGTGCCGACGTTCTCTCGCAACAGCTCCACGAAGAGTCCTCTTTTACGTCAACATCCGAATCCGAACAAGCTGCACGAGTCCTTGACTTCATGTCCTGGCCCATTCTCGATATTGGGGATGGCGTTGCTACCGCTATGAACGAAACAGGCGATGTCAAGCAAGACGTGCGAGTGAACGATAACGGCAACCTGTTGTCTCGACTGCGTAGAGCAGTTGAATCTGGCCGTGGAAAAATTTATGGCTTGGTCCTTCATGATAAAGGTCAAGACCTGATTGTGGAGATGAAAGTTGAATACGGAGAGGGAAATTAAACGAAGGTTATATAGCCTGCCTAAGGAAGCTTTCTATGTTTCGACGAAGCAGTACTGGAAGCTAAACCTCACTTTGATTCACTGCAATTGAAGGCCTGCTGGGTTTCCTTTTGTCTTGTTGAATTTGCTCTTATTATCATATTCTCATCCGATCTTTGTCTACCTGGTGAACAAATATGCCCACTGGCTAATTAGATTGACTCGGCTAGCTCTAGTTCAACATAGAGATTAATTCGACATACTAGTTCGCTTATCTTTTCTAAGATAATACCCTTTAACTGAAATCTATGGTTTGCGAATCTGTTAAAAACGTTTGCTTCACCACGTAGGTACACATGAATTTAAGTAGGATTTTGTTAGAAATCTTGCACTTGAAGTTGAGTGGCCTAAAAAAACCTTGACGTAGCTGAATACACCCCACAGCAGCTAATACATAGGGCCGAGTAAGCTTCGGACAAATCCATTTACCTATAGGTACAGGCAGAACCGTGACCTTATTCCGTTTCTGTTATCAAATGTATGACTATAACATCTGCAAGTAAGCAAGGTATTGAAAGTCACTGTCTCTACTATCTGTTACGAATACTTTCTTCTGGGGCGTCCGATTGCCTTACTACATTGATAGTCTGGGTTTCTGACCTGGTAGAAGAGCGTCTCACTGAAGCTCTTGGTAATAGCTGCTAAAGTCTTTGATGGTTCAGCGTTACCATAGTAGGTAGATTCAAGAGGTTCTGAATGAATGGGAATCAAAGCAGGAGGCAGTAAAGTTTACGTTCGACGGTATTTTAAACAAACACTGTAAAAGAGGGATAGTTAGGACTATTTATTTGTTTCGATTCATCGTTTCAATCAGCCCGTGAGATTGAGCAGCGAATTGTTGACAGAACCGGCATAGATTCTAGATCTATCGACAAAGCCCCAGTATTCACTGCAGCCAATCGCAGAGCCAATTCTAGCTGCAAGAGATCAGTTATAGAAAAGGGTTTCTAGGAATGCTAGCTTAATTCATTCAGTGGCAGATATCTAGTCCGAAACTAAACTAGATCTGTCAACCGATATCGTCGATTTGCGTTACACGGCACAGCGAGTTATTCGAGGCCTAGGTATACCATACAAAAAGAGGTTACCCAAAGACTGGTGCGAATATTGTTCCTGGGATCAGATTAGCACAGTATATGGAGGAACGAGGACAACGGTGAATTTTCGTGGTTCGTTTGCTGAGTGGTATCGGTAGCGTTAGCGAGAGAACGTACGAGAGGGTGTAGAGGCGAGGTAGTACTGAATATCTCATGCAAGCCGAAGGGATCGAGTCAACGGATGGAAAGTTCGAAGAGGACAGCAAGTCACTGTACCGACGTAGGAATACATCATCTCCAGACCAGAACTCCCAGGAACACCGGTAGGCAGTGCGGTTACCATCGGAGCAGGCGAAAGCTAGAAGGCAAGACGGAGGGTGAAGGGGCTGATCAGGGGAGAGCACCGGGGTGAGCGATCAGGTTGCTCACTGAGCAGCTCAGGGTCGCTCAGTGGGCAGCTTAGGGCGGCGGGGTGACTAACTCACCCTGGAAATGTTACCGTCAACATTATTACATTCTTAGGGAAAACCTTGGAATTGATGATTACTTATTTACACCGAAAGATTGAAAGGACCTTGATAATCCTCGATCTACATATCTGATAGATAACTTGTTACCTTCCCTTTTAAGAAGACATCATCGAAGAACATAACAAGGATAAAAAATGATCGATATAGACGCGCTATGAGGTTTCATTTAACGTATGAATCAAACATACAGCTCTACTAGCATTGTATAACATCAATCTATAGGCCTGGTATTTTGCTCAGGTGCCAACGCGTGTCGTGATCTAAATGGAAAATTGAGCCCTATATGTAGCTGTGATCCTGGCCGCTAAAACCTCCGCTGCAGGGTACATACTGGCGTCATGAGCCCCATCACCCTGAGCTGCACAGCTATGCATCACACCTTAAGCATCAGTGCACAGCACTTAATTATGATAGCATCATTTGAGTCTGGCGTTATCACATCATCGCGTGGAGGTCGCAACAATTGTCTCCACGGAATGACTTGCCTAATACGGTGCGCGGGGAAGCGTATTTAACCCCCGACTACCCTGCCCTCATTGAGACAATTGATTTTCGATGTAAAATATTCTCTAAGTTTTGAAATATGCCTCAGATCTTTTTGTAAGTCGATCTTTCATTGGCGCCTAAATTGGTCGTTGTTGCATTGAAATCTGACCATTTGAACTATAGAACTGGCGCCACTGGCTACATCGGTGGCGAGATTCTTCACACCCTGCAGCAATCGCATCCCGAGTACGATATTACTGCTTTGATCAGAGATCAGGAAAAGGCCAACAAGGTCACCGCTGCTTTCCCCAAGATTCGGGTTGTCCTTGCAGATTTGGACAATGTCGACATTATCGAGGAAGAATCACGGAAGGCCAACGTTGTCATTCGTGAGTCAATTGATCTTGAATCACCGAATCGTCGCTAATTTTGTGTACAAAGATGCTGCTAGCAACAAGCACATCGCGAGCGTGAAAGCCATCGCAAAGGGACTCGAAGCACGCTCGGATGGTATGTCAGAAAAGTATCCACCTCGAGATCTACAGCTCACCTAGAAACATAGGCCATTATATCCAAGTGACTGGAGCCAGTGTTCTTGCAGGTCCAGAAGTCGACAGCAACTCATACGGCGAGCCATCGGATAAGATCTTCGATGATTTGGACAACGTTGGAGATCTCCGAAGTATCATTCGAGCCTATAAAGACCGTCGTGTGGTAGACAACTACATCCTTGACCTTGGCTCAAGTGGCCCCAAAACTGCCATTATCTTCCCCCCGATCATCTTTGGTGCTGGTAAAGGTCCTGTGAACCAACGAAGCATTCAGATCCCGTCCTTGGCCCGATCAGCGCTCCAGCAGCATGCTGGCCTCTATCTCAACAAGGGTCTCAGTCGATGGGGTGTCATCCACGTTTCTGATTTGGCTAGCCTCTTTGTTAAACTGACAGAGCATGCCGTCAATGCTACTCAGGTTCCCATTTGGAACGAGAATGGTCTTTTCTTTGCCGAGAACGGCTTCGAGGTTTGTGCTTGCCCTGATCTTCGACAGAATGATTCTGCCTTTACTGACCAATCTTTCTACTCCAGAGCTTCAAAGATATTGCTGGACTTATTGCTAAGGAGGCTCACAGCCTAGGCTACATCGAGTCCCCTTATTCGGTGAAATCAATGAATGTCGAAGAGGCCAATACAGTCATTCCTGGCGGGGTGGTATTCTTGGGCACCAATGGCCAAGGACAGGCTTTGCGAGCTAGGAAATTGGTGGGTTGGCAGCCAGAGGGAGTGCCATTCCCAAAGGCAGTGCGCGAGACTGTTGTTGCTGAGGCAGCGCGCTTGTAATCGCCTGATCAACACAAAACTGAGGTTGCTGTGGAATAGAGTCGCTATGTTCTGGCCACCTCTTTGATGAAGACCTTTCAACCCCATCAGTATGAGTACTGAAGAGCTTTCGGAAAACTGTTAAATGAAGACTTAGGCCAACATGTGGTAGACCGTAGCTTGAGAGGCTTATCCATGCAATCAACTTCCCCGGGGCCTAGTCAGCCTTTTCAGCCAACAAGTATCATGCAGAGCTCGATATTTCCAGCATCATCAAATCGCAAGCTCTGACCTGTGAAGCCATTGTCCATAGACTGAACATTCCAAGTCCAAAACGTAGATGTAGATGAAGCTAAGGTACCAAGCAGGAACATTTTTAGTCGGTCAGCCCCGCCCACTCACCGCTTCCACATCTGCCGGGTTTTATTTTTTTCCTTTACGATTTTTATTACCGCCAAACAGCCCTCTTCCAATTCACATACAATTATTTACCTTCTCCACCTCGTCGTCGATAATCATCATGGCGACTCTGGCGGAGAAGCTTGAGAAGATCAAGTCTCCCAAGCTGCAGAACCAGCACCATGTAAGTTGGATCTAGCCTACCCCAGAGCCAATCGGGACTAATGATTTCGCAGACTGCTGTGGTGCTCTCTGCAGTGGAGGATACTCTCCGTGACCAAAAGGCAGACTTCTCTCCTACCGCTTACTTCGCGGCTCTTCTTGCGCTGCTCTCCCAGTCTCTGTCGGCATCCCAGGGCATCGTCAACAAAGACCTAGCCACATCCGTCGTCTACCTCCTCGATATCACAACGGCTTATGTCCCCGCCTCGATCCTTTGCGCCAAGTTCTCCCAGATTCTCGAAAGCCTCGCCCCCGCGCTCTCTCTGCCGGAGGTCGAAGCCCCACTTCTGCGTCCCTCCATCGGCTGTCTCGAGTCTCTCCTCATTGCTCAGGATGCCGCTTCATGGAACCTCCCGCACACACAGGTCGGCCCGCGCCGCGCGATGGCTGGTCTGCTGAGTCTTTCGGTTGACCACCGCCCCAAGGTGCGCAAGCGCGCCCAGGAGGCTCTGGTCAAGGTTCTGAAGGCTCCTCCCCCAAGCCCATCTCTGGATCACCCTGGTGCCGATATGTGTGCCCAGTCCGCAATGAAGACCCTCGGCGATAGCATCTCTGCTGCCCACAAGCAGAAGAAGGGTCGTCACGATTCTCAGGCTAACAACCAGGAGCCACTCATCATCCACTCATTGCAGTTGATTAAGACCATCGCGTCAGCCTCCGGTGGCTGGCCCAGCAAGAAGATCGAGCCTCTCAGCGAGCTCTTGATGAACGCATCCAAGTCGAGCAACGAGTACATCACAATGGGTGCTTTCGAGGTCTTCGAAGTTATTTTCGAAGGAATGGCGGACGAATTCTCTTCGTCCAAGCTGCCCCGTCTTTTGGACGCCATCTCCGAGCTCAAGCCCGCGCAGAACGACTCTCAGCTTCTGCCTCCTTGGATCGCGGTTCTGTCCCGTGGTTACGATGTGGCTGCGCAGATCACTCCCGAAGATACCTTCGAGAAGCTGCCGGGTCTGTTTACCCTCATCTCTGGATTCATGGCCTCGCCTTCCAGCAACATTCGCGTTTCCGCTTCCGAGTGTCTGATTTCTTTCCTGCACAACTGTATCCCCAACAGCGTTATTGTTGAGCCTTCCGTCTATGATGAGAAGACTCTGGAGAAGTTGGCCAAGGCGGCCGTCGAGCTTCTCTCCGTCAAGTACCAGGCTGCTTGGAGGGAGGTGTTCAACGTGTGCTCGGCCATGTTCGATTGCTTCAAGTGGCGCTCAAGCCCCTACCTTGTCAAGATCGTCAGCACAGTTGGTGAACTCCGTAGCAACGGTGGCTTCGCGGGTAAGAAGGAAGCCGATGCTGTCCTCGGCAGCGCCATCGAGGCCATGGGCCCCGAGGCCGTTTTGGAGATCCTTCCCCTCAACATCGTGAACCAGAAGGCTGGTCAGCAGGGTCGTGTCTGGATGTTGCCCATCATGCGCGACAACGTGACCAACACCAACCTTAACCACTTCCGCACCGAGCTTGTTCCCCTCAGTGAGGCTCTCTACCAGAAGGTCGTGAACTTTGGTGCTGCTGAGAAGTCCGTGGAAGTCAAGATCTTCGAGACTCTTGTCCAACAGACCTGGGGCACTCTTCCCGGATACTGCGAGCTGCCGCTTGACCTGGCCGAGGCTTTCGACCAGAGCTTTGCTGAGCTGCTTTCCAACGTTCTTTACAAGCAGACTGAGCTCCGTGTCGATGTCTGCCGTGCTCTGCAGAACCTGGTTGAGTCCAACCAGGCCATCCTGTCCGTTGAGAGTGAAGAGGATGATCTCATTCTGCAACGCCGCATCACCAAGGCTGCTGCTCAGAAGAACATCACTCACCTCAGCGGTCTTGCGAGCAACTTGCTGGCTGTGCTTTTCAACGTCTACAGCCAGACTCTTCCCCACTACCGCGGCTACATCCTGCAGTGTATCAACGCCTACTTGAGCATCACTCCCGAGAATGTACGTGTCTCCCATCAATTCGTGACATGCGAGTATAATTTGACTAACATGATATATAGGAGCTCAACGAGACCTTCAACCGCGTTACCTCTATGCTCGAGTCCTCTTTGGTCACCGAGCAAGAGACCGCAGCCAAGCAGGGCGCTCAACCGCAGGGCTCATCTGACAAGATGCCACCTACCTCTCACACACTGATTGACCTCGTCATCGCCATGTCAATCTACCTTCCCCGCTCCAGCTTCAGTGGCCTGTTCTCCATGGCAGCAGCCATTCTCAACAGCTCCTCCCCCAACCCGGATCAGCAACTGATCAAGAAGGCCTACAAGCTCATCCCCCGTCTCGGATCAACCGAGACTGGCCGTGCTGCTCTCCAAGAGCGCAGCGGAGAGTTGCAGGCCCTCATGCTCGCCACCACAGACAGCACCCCTGCCTCTGGTCGCCGTGACCGCATGCTCGCCATCACCGAAATGATCAACCACCTCCCCACCTCAGACCTGCACTTCATCCCAGCCATCCTGTCTGAAGTTGTTCTGGGCTGCAAGGAGAGCAACGAGAAGGCCCGCACAGCCGCCTTCGACCTGCTGATTCTCCTGGCCAAGCGTACCATCGACTCCGAGCGTAACCCGCCCGGTACCGTCATCCGCCGATCGCTCGTTCCCGGCGTGCCGGATGACATGCCCGATGCCCCCGCTACCCTGGAGGAGTTCTTCACGATGCTCTCGGCCGGTCTGGCCGGCTCAGCTCCTCACATGGTTGCCGCCTCTGTCACGGCGCTGTCTCGACTGTTCTTTGACTTCCAGACCCAGCTGCAGCCCGAGATGCTGACCGAGCTTGTCGAGACCGTCGAGCTGTTCCTCACCTCCAACAACCGCGAGATCGTCCGCTCCGTCCTTGGCTTCGTCAAGGTTGCCGTCGTCGTTCTCCCCGACGAGACTCTCCGTCCTCGTCTCGCCACCCTCGTCCCCAACCTCATGGCCTGGAACAAGGAGCACAAGGGCCGTCTCCGCAGCAAGGTCAAGGGCATCATCGACCGACTCGTGCGTCGCTTCGGTGCTCCCCTCCTTGAAGCCATCGTCGGCGAAGAGGACCGCAAGCTCGTCGTCAACATCCGCAAAGCCCGTGAGCGCAGCAAGCGCAAGAAGAAGGAAGGTGCCGAGGACGAAGACGACGAGGAGGAGAAGGCCTCGAAGCCTCAATCCGGAAACGCCTTCGACAAGGCCGTGTACGGCTCCGACTCCGAGTCCGACTCTGGCTCTGATGACGGCGACAGCGATGTCGAAGTCGACCAGCAGGCCCGTATCAAGGGTCGTGCAGGCAAGAAGGGCCAAAGCACCCAGTACATCCGCGAGATGTCTCCTGAAGATAACCCGCTTGATCTGCTTGGATCGAATGCTCTGGCCAGCATCTCCACCACGAAGCCCAGCCAGCGATTCCTCAACACAGGACCTGGATCGAAGAAGAAGCGCAATGCCAAGTTCGACGCTGATGGCCGTCTCATCCTCGGTGAGGATGGTGATGTTGTCGCTGATGATGCTGAGATGACTGGCGCCGGCGATGGAGGCGTCAATGCTTACCTTGCTGCTGTTGCTGGACCTGATGCTGTTCGTCGTGGCCAGCGCGGTAAGGTGAAGATGGGCCAGTCGAAGAAGAATGATGATAGCATGGATGTCGACGATGAGGATCTGAAGCAGGACCTGCGCGCCTCTGGTGGTGGTCAGGGCACTGCTCGTCGTGGTCTTGGTGCGCCCAAGGCTGCGGGTGCTTCTGGTGGTGGTCGTATTGAGAAGCGTCGCAATCCGGCCAAGGCTCCGAGAGGTAACAACCGCTCGGGCTGGGGTAAGAAGAGGTAAATGTGCATCTTTTGTTTATCTCTTTTAGCTCCTGGGCTGGATATATGGTATGGTATGGGCAGAGGGTGGCATCTAGCAGATTCTGGAGTTATTCGTGTTTTGTGTTTTCTCATTCCTTTCTTGTCAACCTCTACCATCCATGTCTTCGATGCCGTTAGTGTTAGATGTTTCTCATAATACCCTCCGCTGTGATGGTTCCGTTGACCCTGGGCTCTTCCGTCCTGATGCAGAGCTCTGCGTCTTCATGATATGATTACGATTCTGTTCAAAAGTTTGTTAAGGTCAATGGACATATTGTTTTATTCCTCTCCATGTAGTATACACCTAGTATACATATAGTTGAAACTACCACAGATTCGAGACTTGCGTTGGATGCATTGCAGCCTGGATATAACTTGCAGGTCATGGTGTCGGGGGAAAAAAAAAAAAAAAAAAAAAAAAAAAAAAAAACCAACAAAAAAAAAAAAAAAAAAGAAAAAGAAAGAAAAAAAAGATATAGACAAGTATAGAAAAGTATAG